ATATATATACACACACACACAATGGGAGGGATTCCAAAACCTGCAATTTAATTTCACGGCTCAATTCACAATTATAAACTACTCAAAGTTCACTCTTGAGATATCAAGTAAACCCCATGATTAAATTTCAGTCTGTGACCTGTATCCTCATTCTATGTCCAGTATAAACCATCTGGATCGTCCTACAGTACTAAGAATATAGAATGTAACTCACTCTGTATTACAGTAATCTTTATATGAACCATGACCTTCAAGTCCAGCTCCTCCCCCACCCCAATACTACCTCCTACCATCTGGCTCAATCTCTCATGTATAGTCTGTGGCAGTTTCTTTTCTTTTTCCCTTCATGGTTCTCATGCTATATTTGTGTCAAGTTTGCTTTCCCTGCCACAGAGAGTGTTATGGAGATAGTGAAGTTGTATAATAATAATAATAATCCTTACATTTGACATAGCTCCTTATCACGTCTTCGAGACATCTCAAAGCGCTTCACAGGACATACTGTAAAGTGAATTGACTGTATTTTGTGGGGCAAAATGTGGCAGCCAATTGCCCACAGCAGCGTCCTACAAACAGTCGTGGATTTAGCGACCACATTTCTTTTAAGGAATTACTGTCCCCAGAAATGCAATCTGCCAATCAACTAACAACCGAGTTCCTACTTCCTGCTGGGTAAACAGAGGCATGTGGAGTAAGGAACCTTGCCCAACATATAGCCCTGCCCGGGAATCGAACTCAGGTCCTCTCGCTTGCGAGGCGAGTGCTCTAACCACTGACTATTGAGAAAAACAGGTAGAAACAGTCAGTGCTAACAAACTCTGCCTACATGGAATAAACGGCTGAATCAGCAACATCAGTCTGTCAGGTAGAAATCCCACTTGGGTCTAGATTTTCTCTCTATAAACACAGCAGGATTTGGTAAATTGTTGAATTCAGTTTTAATTTTGAAAACAGTTCTCTTTAGTTCTTAAAGGAAATGACAAAAAAGGCTTCAAAATTTAAAGACTGCATTTAAGAATTTGATCAGTTCTGGATGCTTTGAAATACTATGCCAATAGGGTAAATCTAGACCCCTGTGGAATTTCTTTCTACCCATGTGTTTTTAATGTCACAGCAGTGCATAAACCTATTCTCTCTCTGGGAGAAATACTCAGAACTCAATTCACAAGTCCTATGCTATGTATTCATATTCTGTCTCATTGATGTTACTTTCTATGGTTTAATAAAAATAAAAATATAAAATAAATTAATTCACACACACAATACTAAATTACATTTGCATAGCACCTTTCACGTCGGGAGGACGTTCCAAGGCGCTGGGATTGGTCCGAGGCAAGGAATGGTTTAATTGGAATTAATTGGAACAATGTTCAAGGGGGAAAGAAACCAAACTCATTGAAAGGGGAATAAGAGGGCATGAGCTGGAACATGAGATGGAGAAGATTGTGTCACAATATAGTAGCATCCCATCGTTTCATCTCTCAGATCTTGGATGAAAATCAGACAAGAATAATAGGCTGCAAACCTTCTTTCTCTGTTCCAGGGTCTATTTGAAATAGGATTCTATGGAACATGAACCCACGGCCTCAAAATTACATATAAGTTTACATAATTCAGCACTAAGTTCGAAGTCTCACCTACAGATGCTACAAATTGGTTAATGCAGAAATGTCATGCAGATGCACTGGAGGATATTAGGCCAAGATTGGGGTTAATGAAAGTCACTGAGGCAAAGCTGAAGGGATTTTTCTCCACTTACCCATCCCCCACATTGACAGCCCCTACTTAGGAAAAGCACCAACATTATATGAAAATGTATTGAAAGGAGGAGAAAGTAATACATACTGAATGCAGAGCCTTTTGTGAACCAGCGGGGGCCTATATCAGGATGTGGAGGAGACACAGCAAGGCATTTTGATCTAGGTTTCCCACAACTTCATGCCAATTTGACTCAAATGGTATATAATAAATATTCTGGTGTTATTAAAGTTAAACACTGCCTACAATTAGCTTCACTGGTTTCTTTTTAATTCAGTTAATTTGCCATGGAGCCCCTGTCCCATAGGCCTACTCAGTAGGAAACAGCAGAGGGAAAGATTATTGTAGAATTCAGCTGTTAACTCTATAATATTTCTATGAACTACAGGCCTCCATACAACAGTCAGTCTTCAGCAGTGTTTAGCAAGGGAATGGTTCCAATCTTCTCTAATGTAGCAATAATGAATAGGAAGATTTCTAGCGTGTCAGATACCTACTTTGCTCTAGTTATTGGCAACCAAACCACTCCATATTTTCCAGTCTCTACAAAGGTGGATTGTATCAGGTCATGATGTAACTGTGTACTATACCTGCTCATTCATCACACCATCTCATCATTTTTGCTTTACCGATCACTGGATCCATTGTCATCAATTTATCAAGACAATAACATACCTCGACAACTTTCACCTTGCATCTGAATAACATGGGATTGCCTGGAGGGATCTTAAGTGTTTTCTGCTCAGCCTTGTATTTATCATTTCTCTTCTTTATTTTGCTAACGTAAGGCCACTCAACATTAGTTATTCTTCTTCTGGGACGTCCTCCTGACGTGAAAGGCGCTCTATAAATGTAATTTTGTTGTTGTATTTTGTTGTTGTTCTTATCTAACTTTAATACTATTACTAATAATCCTTACATTTAGTATACCTCCTTTCTTTCACATCGGGTGGACTTCTCAAAAGTGCTTCACATGATTCTTACTACAAAGTGGTGTGACTGTATTTTTGTGGGTGAATGCAGCAGCCAATTTGCACACAAGGTCCCACAAACAGCCATGAAGGGAACGACCAATTTTATTCGGGGAATTGTTGGCCAGGCCACTGGAAGAAACTCCTGCCTCTATTTGAATAGTGCTACAGGATCTTTTGCATCCACTTAAATAGGCAGACTCTGTTTAATATCTCATCTGAAGCATGGGATTTCTAATATGGCCTTGCAAATTGTTATGTTTGGCGTAAATCCTTAAATTTCTTTAGACCAGAAAAAAATTCCTTCATACATGGATTTGAGAGACCATAGAATGCATAATGTTTAAGGTATACACACACACACACACACACACTTTGAGATATCATAACCTGATAAAATGCAATATGAAATGTAAGCGTTATAAGGTCAGTGAAGCTCAAATTGTTGACTGAAGTGGATTGGGAATTGGTTGCAATATAAGTAGCAATGGGAAGTGTGCCTGGCGCTGTTTTGGCATGGAAGAAAATATAAGAAGAAATAATAGAGGGTGCCTGAGGGATCAGTGCTGGAGCTAATGCTATTTACACCGTACATAAATTATTTGAAAGTGCGGACAGAAACTGTTATCTAAATTTGCTGATGGCACTGAATGGAAGAGAGTTGCAAATAATTAGAAAGAGGCTGACCAAAATAAAAAAAAGGATCTGGGCGGATTAGGAGTTGGGCTGACAAGTGGCAAATGTCATTTAATATGGATGGATGACTGAAGTGATGAGATTGGTTGGGAAGAAGAATAAACAGTGAGAACATAAACTAAACAGTGTTAATCTACAGGACATAGGAGAGATTTTGTGTACCAGTGGGTAGATCATTGAAATTATCAGCACAGTGTGAGGCAGTAATAAAAGAAAGCGAACAGCATCTTGGAGCGAACAGGGTGGAAGGGGATTAGGAGGTCGGAGAGGTATGGCGGACAACCAGCCAGGAGGAGAGGGAGGTGACCGTAGCACGATCAAAAACGAAGGTCTTTAGGCGGGATTTGAAGGTGGGGAAGGAGGGTGGAGGCAAGACTTTACTTGATCTTTGGCAAGGCTTTTGCACATGTGTTCACATTGCGTGGCCTCAGTGACCTTTTCATATAAAGGTTTTTCCCTCAAAGCCGAGAGCACATTTACCTGGTAAAGTGTACCAAAATTGATGTAAAAGTAACTTAACAAAGCAAACTCACATTCCACATTCGATTTGTAATATGATTGTCTGGAGGACTCTTTGGCAGTCAATTGGTACATTTTGACTAGAGTCATAAAGTTCAAATCTGCGTGACGAAACAATCAGCATTTTTATTTATATTTATGAGCTACTTTTTTTTTAATATGAAAAGTGTGTCTGGAGCAGTAACCAATTATTGCTCAACTGTCCCTCAGGAATAATAAAAGTTCGGCTGATTTGTTACACTTTTCCTTTTTCTGCCAGACTATTTGAATGTTTTATTTTTCCTAAAAAAAATCTGTGACCCAAGTGACGACGTGTTTTATTCAAAAATATACAATAAAACCTAATTACTGCTGTAGGACTATAAAAGATTTGAAGACGTAATATTATTTATCCTTTTTGAGTATTAGAATTAATGTACATCTCCAGACAAGAATCCTTTTAACATATTTTTTAAATATATATAATCAATTACCCTAAAATCTCATAAGTCCCCCAGATCTGGCTTTTACTATATTAGATGAAATGATGGACTTCAAGTGGGTGGGAACATAGACCGTAGTCCCAACCCATTTATTAGACAGTAAGCCTGTTCAATCTATTTACTTCAGGATAACTTTGAGGACTAGAGTCCATCTTCATCCAGGATACACTGTGCAGTTCAGCAACACCAGGGCATGTGGTTAAAAATAGAAGAAAATCTAAATAATAATCCTTGCATTTGATATAGTGCCCTATCACGTCTTCACAATTTCTCATAGTGCTTCACAGAATATACTGTAAAGTGAATTGACTGTGTGTTTTGTGGGCAAAACAAAACATCAAGATAACATCAAAAGAAAAAGTTGTTCTCTTCATCTACAGTTGCCCCAGATGGAACGCTTGCCATATTATCGACAGTGTAAATTGGGCTCAAAAATCTGTAGACGTACAGTATACATGACAAGGTTAGAAAAGAGATTGATGGAATGAGGATAGGCAGTACCACAACTAATATTATCGAATATCCATTGACAGACATAGGAGGATCTTGAGACACTTTGTCTTTTTAATCTGCATTTTCAATTTTGATTAAAATGTCACCGATAATTTTTTGAAAAGTATGATCTTCCGCTTGTTTTACTGAATTGAGGCGGATAAAGGGTCTCCTTCAGCTATGTCTTTTTTTATCAAGAGCAGATGCACCACTCTCTCCTTCCAACATGTTGCCCAGAATGTAAGACAATTCAAAGTAGAGATTCTGCAATCTGAAATTGACAGAGAGGGGAAACCAAATGTTATCTCGATGAAGAAAATCCCTTTAAACTTTTTTTGGGTTACCTCTCAAGCAACGTATCCCTCTTGCACCATCCTCACGTATCTTCCTGAGACTGGAGGTCCAAAATTCCAGTCAGTCTGAGTTTTTAAGATGATTATCTCTTGGAAGTTAAGATTGTGAATAATTGTGGGCAATTTGGATTAGGCTTCAGCGTGACAAATCCTGGTGTTTCTGCACCAAAAAAAAAATTCAAAATCTTGGCCTTGACTAATTTGAAACCCAAGTACAGTTCGGTCTAACAGCCAGGAAGCTCATAAGACTTAGTTGTAATCTAGTCTTATGTACTTTCTATTGGTCAGACCAAGTAAGGATTGCATAGGTAAGAGTATCAGAATATTTTACCACCTCTTGGTTTGGGTTACAACTTATTAGTGGAGTCCTGTAGCTTGGTGGTTAGAGCACTTGCATCGATTTCCAGGCAGGGTGAAACCTTAGGCAAGTTTCCTTGCTCCACACGCCTCTGTTTACCCGGCAGTAAGTAGGAACCCGGTTGTTAGTCGATTTGGTGGATCGCTTTTCCAGGGGTAATAATTCCCTTTTAAAAAAAATCGGTCACTCAATCCACGACTGTTTGTGACGCACTGCTGTGCGCAATTAGCTGTCGTGTTTATCAATAACTATACACAATCCAGTATCTTTCAACTTACTTGTACAAAGTGTCATCCTGCTGATCAAGGTTTGTCAAGTAAATATCTATGAATGACAGACTCGAACACAGATCATCCATCACAATATAATCGTCATGTTTTAGGGTCTTCTTAAAATTCTGCACCTTTTCACCAAAGCTTTCAAATTGGGTGGTTTTCTACAGCAAAACAAAGAAACAAACAAACAGGTTTGTCAATGTAAAATTATTTAAACATTGTTTTTAAAAGCTTCCTCAGTTTGTATAATAATTCCCCCTACAGAGAGCACAGGCAAAAGAGGCGATCAAAGCAAATGAGTCTGAACTGAAAGCGAAATGGCAAACTTCACTTCAAACCACAAATGCGCAGTCACTACACTTTACATTAAATCCTATGAAATGCTTTGAGATGTTTTAACAAAGTGATGAAGTGCCATATCAGATGCAAGGATTATTATAAATTCTCTGAGACGTCTCGAAGACGTGATAAGGTGCTATATCAAATGGAAGGATTATCATTATTATAATAATTAGTAGATTCAGACTAAATCCAGTACCTGTTTCTCCATCAGTTGCTTGATGTGCTCTTGTTGCCTATGCACAATAGTCTGCTTTTTCTGAAGCAATCTAGTTTCTCGTTCTGCTAGGATGGCCTTGTTAAATTCTTTATCTGATTCCTAGAAATGAAACAAAAATCATTTCACAAATACCGAACAGAAAATACACGATATCGCAACAAAAAATCAAACTCGCGACACATTTCTAAGATGTTCCTTGTAAGATGGCAATAACGGAAGCGATGTTACCCGTATGTTGATAATGATAACTCCGATGAAGAGGTTGAAGAAGAGGAAACAACCCAGTAAAATAAAACCAATGGTGAAGATCCTATTCCACCTGGTTCCCTGGTGAACTATTTGAGCTTGAAAATCAGTCCAGCTGTCCAGCTGCAAGACAGAAGCCGATCAGTCAGGTCAATCCCATATAAAATACATTTCCGACAACATAAAGGAGAAGAATAATAGCACCCAATCCCCTTCCAAAAGCAAGAGGAAAATTGAAGTTCGGCCATGATTTTGTTTAACTGTATAAATCTGATGGTTGGCCATTGCAATGAATTGCGAGGGGTCGTACTAGTGGAGATCAGGTAAATTTCAAAGATTCTTTTGTTTGCATTTTGCAAACGGTTGATACACTTTGCAAGGAAGCGCTCATTTAGCTGATAACACAACACTGCATCTACATCTCCCCCGTGTGAATATAACCCGGTCATGCTGATCCATTACCGTCACTAAGTTGAAGAGTGTGAAGAAAGCAGCCCTGAGGCTGCTCCAGTTGTCGACATTTCCTGTATTACCAGTTCCAAAGAAATAAAATCCAATTAGCGCAAACACAAACAGCAGCAGGAAGAGCAGGAACAGGATGTACAGGACACTCTTTATGGTCTTCACCAAAGCAACGGATAGGACCTATTGAATAGGAAACACAGAATGGACGCAACGTGAAAGACAAAGCAATATTTTTGCTGTCAATTGACAGTAAAGATCTGAAATCTTTTGTTATTCGTGCTTTACAAGGCCGGTCTGCTCGGATGATTCACAATTGCACGGGTCTTCAGAACAAATTACCTGCAAGCCCCGGATAAAGAAAATTGTCCTGAGCGTTCGGAGTGGCTGAACTGCACGGATCAAGTCCATAGCCCTTTTCTGCTCATTCGTGAGAAAGCGTTCAACCAAACAGAGCAGCAACACCATGAAAGCGAATGTATTGGAACCAGCCTTCCAATATTTGATTGGTTCAGCGTAAATCTTCAGTAAAAACTCCATTATATAAATGGCCAAGAAGAATTGTTCCATCACCTAACCCAAGAAAGAGAGGTTTATGACCATCAAAACTGATTCAAAAATATTTTTTACTCCAACTGAATGGGGGCATAGTTCTATGTGGTGTATGTTTAAAATGGAGTAGCACTGAAATCATCTTAACTTACTAACAATCGGTCAGCTTAATGTTTGTTCCATGTAATCCTTTGCAATGAAATAGTGTGCTGGTGATAGGATAATAATAATTCTTGCATTTGATATAGCACCTTATCACGTCTTCGAGACATCTCAAAGAGCTTCACAGAATATACTACAAAGTGAATAGACTGTATATTTTGTTCCAATCCTAAGGTTCTACCCTTGAGACCATTCCTCTCCCTGGCTCTGGCACTCTTTCCAATGTTGATGGCAACATTAACTTCCTGCTCCTTACAATAAATAAGGATAACACTCATGACATAGAAGCAAGTTTTCCTTCATTGGCTGAGAGAAAGGTAGCATTGGAAACACACAATGCAATACAATAATAATAATCCTTATACAGGAAAATAATAGTGCCTTTCACATCAGGAGGATGTCTAAAAATGATTCATAGGATATACTGTAAAGTGCAGTGACTACATAACAGATACAGTTAACAGGCAAGTCTCACATCTAACTGAAACCCGAGAGGTAAATTACCCTCAGCTTGATGCATCGAGTAGATACACTAAATAATGATCTGACATAATCGTAAGGAAAAGTAGGAATGAAATTCTACATACACTTAACATATAATTTTGGTCTTACGTCAAAGAATTCATAGAATCTCATTTGCATCGATTCTACACTCTCCAGTGCCATTACCAGTGAATTTACAAGAATTGTCGTGAGGATTACTCCATTGAAAAACCAATTCTTCGTAAGTATTTTGGCAAATTGCTGAAAGATAACTTGTTTCCTGAGAGAGAGAGAGAGAGAGAGAGAGAGAGATTCATAGAAATGATTATACATAATTTAATAAGAATAATTTGGTCACTCAACCCACGACTGTTTGTGTGTAATTGGCTGCCGCGTTTGTCCCAAAAAATACAGTCACTCCACTTTACAGTATATTCTGGGAAGCGCTTTGAGGTGTCTAGAAGACATGATAAGGCGCTATATCAAATGCAAGGATTATTATTATTATTATTACATAAAGCGGCCATTTGGTGCAATTGAGCTCATGGTGGTGTGAGCTCCTGCATCAACAATATAAATCGTATAATCAACAACAACAACAAGATTACATTTGTATAGCACCTTTCACGTCGGGAGGATGTCCCAAGGTGCTGGATAATCGCCTAAATAGTACATCTGCTCAAGTCCCGTTGAATTTCCTTTTATTTATAAGTTTGACACAACTCATACTTTGCATAAGTCATATTAAATGTATGGTCCCAACTGATACGCCTTATGTGAGGTTTACCGTACTCTAATTCAACTTCTGCCCTCACCCATATTATGTTGTTATTCTTTTCAAACGCTTATTTAATTCTCCTTTATATATTTTTGATGGCCTTAGCTCCAATAGCAAAGTATTCTTGTTCTACAGTCTTCTGCGTGAAAACCTTTCTTCTCATTTCCCCCTTAACTCTTCCAATGATAATCTTGCAAACATAAATTTATCTATGCCTCCAGTTACAGATTTACCTGTAACCATTCTTGACTATTTACCTTCATAAAAACCTTTTCAGAATTTTGATGACCCATTAGACCAGCGCATAACCTTCTCAGCTCCAATGAAAATAGCCCCAATTTTTGGCTAACCTCATAATTGGAACCCCTGATATCCTTTATGTTGAATGTTGTCCTTTCTATAAGGAGTACTCCGAACTGCAATCAATATTCAAAAATGTGGTCTTACGTCAGATATTGGTGATCCATCTACTGTTTACCTACAGCCAAGGTCTAACATTGACCAATAGATCCATAATTCTTTGTTTCCGAATTTTATGAGCAGGTTGTAATATTCGGCACTCTTAAGAGTCCTTTGGTACATTCCAGTCACCACCCTTTACAGTGTATCCTGTGAAGCACTTTGAGATGTCCCAAAGACGTGATAAGCCGCTATATCAAATGCAATGATTATTATTTCAATAAATTGTAGACAGTGCAAAGTTTCAGCCATTACAAAAGCAACAATTTATTCAGTCCACAGTGATAGTGAATATTGTGAGGCCCAGACTTACTTTTTGCCCTTTTGTTTGAGGAATTCAAATGATCGTTTATTCAGCCTGTCTCCGACGATTTTGTTGATTATATTTTTCATTTTTGGCTGGATATTTTTAAGCCTTTATTGGGCTTTCCTTGTATGATCAATGTGTATTTAAATCCAAAAAGAACTTTCTGTTTGGTGTCATGGAGGTTGAACTTCATTTGTAAATGAAAGATCAAAGAGTGGGGCATGTAACACGTCAGTTGTAAGGCGTCAAATTGTAAGATTCTAGAACGGAATAAGAGTTACCTGGTGAAACCTAGCAACGGAAAAAACAATAAAGGAATTTGACTATGTTGTACAGATATTCCAAACTTAATGTTGTCCTGAAGCCATTATTAAATACAGATTTTTTTTTCTCCAATTTTACCCTCCTCTTTTATTTAAATAAATAAAGAACACATCCATTTAGAGTTATCAACTAAACTTAGCTTATTCTCCTACCATCAGACCATAATTGGATTGCGACACAGCATTACAGCACTGTGGGAATCTCAAGACCAATGTAAATCGATTTAGCGAATGATCAGAGTGCGTTTGCAACTTGGGAACAGTTATTTCTGCAAATTCAGGACGAAACAAGATTGTTAGAGTTACTGTATCATCTAATCTTGAAACCAACAGTAGATATGAAATTAGTCACAGAATGAGATGTTCATTCATTAAGCACAATGATAAAACTCCTGATAAAGTCTCTAGGTCTAGGCTTGTTGGTGATGGCAACTCAAGAACACCTGATCTATTTTCCGTAGTTTCACCAGTAAACAGCCAATTTGCTTTGCAGTATATTCTGTGAAGCGCATTGAGATGTCTCAAAGACATGATAAGGCACTATATCAAATGCAAGGATTATTATAGTATAGATAGTAGTCTCATAATATTGGATTTGACCTCCCAATAAAGTTAATTTGAAAGACATAAGTGTGTCAGAGTTTTTAAAAACCTCTGGAATTGGAAGTTGGATAAAGCAAAGGTTTACAACAGGAAAGGTGAGAAAAGATCTGTATACAAATGACTGGGAATCATTAAGGTGGCAATATTTCGTAAGGTGGCATTCTTCCCACGTGAAAGATAGACCTTAAAACATGACTTTTCGCATTGTTTCAAGCTCCGGCTTTTCAAGTGGTGAAGAATAGGTTTCTAAATTGATCTCTTGATTCACATCAGGAATGCATGACTTCCACTAAATCCAGCGCCTTGGGACTTCCTCCTGATGTGAAAGGCGCCTTACAAATGTAATTTTGTTTTGTAAAGGTGCTCCTACCCTCTGAAACATCAGAGCTGGTTGAGTGGTAAACTAGAGATATAAGGATCAAATGATAGTTACTACAGACTAAATACTATTGGAAAAACTAATCACTGAATTTATTAAAGAGACTTGCCAGGAATCTAAGGGAAAGTCCAAGGACAATATCAAATAAAAACAAATTTTCACTCGTACTTATTAGGTTCAAGAGGGAAAATGGTCCATAAACAGATTGATACCTACCAACTGGACCTCTGTGATGTAAGAACAGAGATAAAAATCAGGCATCCAAAATCTCTAAGGCGTCTTTTATTTGTACAGCCAGTGGTGTAATATCAAAAGCATTATCCGTAGTGTGCTGCATGCAGGTTTGGGAAAAAATACCTCTCTCACTTGCTTCCTATTACTGAAAACACCCAGTACTGTACAGTCAAACAATGGCCCGTCTGAACGACATAGACTTCACTGTAAGCCATGGCAACCGAAGCTCCAAGGTCATTTTTGTCTGGATCGAACGGAAACCAGTTACTAATGAGCTCTAACGTAGACAGGCAACCATCACTGACAGCTTAATAGTTCGGCCAGTTTAAATATTGTACAGCACATATTATATAATCAAAACAAGCAGCACGCAGCTCGTTACTAAGCAGATCTCTTTATTATATACACAATTTCATTTGTACAGCAAGCAATATTATAATAGACTGTCCACTAAGCTAACCCAAGGCAGACGGGAAAATAAAACTTGACTTATGGTGGTAGTATTTCCATGCACCTCATGTGCACATGTTAAAGGGCACCTTGTAGGTAGCTATGGTCTCAATTAATTCTTTTGCTAAATGATTCGCTTAATGCTGGACTTCACTGCTAAACAAGACATTCACCGCCTCCGGAAGTGATAGCAATTCTAGCTGTAGTACTGCGGCAATTTGTTTGAAAAAAAATGAATGATTTTGAAAATTTATGGAGCGAAAGAGAATTTGAACTGAGAAAACTTACAGAAAGCTTTCAAAACTAAATTTACTGGTACAATAATTTCACCCAAGCAATCTCTATTTCCAAAATGTTATTATAACAAAGCCGGTTAAACTACTTAAGACAAGTTTCACAGATGTTTACAGAACCATTTGTCATGTCTACATTACAGTGTACCAACCAGGGCATACACTCTGCATCAGCACATTCCTTAGATTACAGCAAGACAAAGAAAAAGTGAAGTGTTTTAGCGAGATGGGGGGAAAAAACAGATCCGCAGTAAAACTAGTTCATGGTGATGCTAACCTTTATTTTTGAGGCAGGCCTTTCAAATCGTGAGGACATCACAAAGAGCTTCATAGGGTCTACTGTGTATTTTGTAGGTGAATGTGGCAGCTAATTTGCAGGCATAATCTCCCACAAACAGCCAAGAAGTGAATGAGCAATTTTATTGTTAGCCAGGATAGATATTTGTTAGGTCAGGGTGTTAAGGGATATGGGGCAAGGGCAGGTAATTGGACTTGAGGTACAGATCAGCCATGATCTTATAGAATGGCGGGACAGACTCGAGGGGCTGAATGGCCTCTTCCTGTTTCTATGGCACAGATGGGGCCTCAATTCAATGTCTCATCTGTAAGATGGCATTTGGAATATTGCAACCTCTCCGAGCACTGCACTGTTGTGTCAGCTTAATAAGTTCCAAGTCCGAACATGATTGAGCCAGCCTGAATACACGTATAGTAAACTAGCTTCAGAAAAATCCTGCTGATTAATAGCAAATTTAAAAAAATATGGACTCTTTGGGTTATTGGATAAGGGGTTGAGGAGCTATAGTTTTGAGGAGAAATGGCAGAAGTTGGGTCTGTTATCAAGTTTGACATGGGACCTGACAGGTGTACAAAATTATGATGGCTTTTGACAGGGTAAATAGGGAGAAACAATTCTATTAGGGTGTGGGGAGGGGGTGTCAGTGAATAGAGAACACATACATATATATCAATTTGTTTCAAAGATACCATAAGAAATAAACCCTTTTGAAGGTGGAATGGCAGCTGTCAGATGAAATCAAAACAATACAAAAAAAAGTCAATCAATTGGTGGATGAATAAAATACATTATTTAACAAGTAACAAGAAAGTGGATATAGGATTGTAATTTAATCCCAGGGAGGCATTTATAAACCTCTTCAGGTTTGCTGTTACAGTGACTGAACTGCTGGATTAGATTTTATCTTGTAACTCACTCCCAGGTATCCATCATTGTACGCGTCATATTGTAGATCTGAATCAAGCTTGTAACTCACTCTTGGATTTCCATTATGTATTAATCAGTTTGTTCCATGTTCCAGATATCTTATTTTCCCTGTTCGGATATTTGCTGTCACTTCAGCAACTCTTTGCAAGACATTTCAATTGCTAGAGCGAGCATCAATGTTGTTTAAAGGAGCTCTTCTCCGTGGCTTGGAACGAAAAAACACTAATTCAAAATGTTCTTCAGTTACGTTAATGGCCCAACCCCAAGCAGCAGTCAATGACAGCTCTCCCAACCACCTTCCCAATCAGGCTGGGAATTCCAGGAAGTAATAATTCCTTCAAAATAATAATAATAATAATTTGGTCACTCAACCCATGACTGTTCATTGGACACTGCTGTGCGCAATTGGCTGCTGTGTTTTGCCTACAAAATATACAGTCACTCCACTTTACAGTATATTCTGTGAAGCGCTTTGAGACGTCTCGAAGACGTGATGAGACGCACTATCAGATGCAAGGATTATTAAGTAAAGGAGTCAATCTTGCCTCTCACTGCTCTCTGGGACTCCCAGGCTGTTTCCAACTACTGAACAAAAAGTAGCTGAGTGTAGGTCGAGTATAATGCATGCTTAATGGTGTCCTAACTATTCCCAGCCCTGTGCAAACCACACAGGCAGATGAAACAATCCTGTATAAATACACCAGCAGTCTACAATATCTAGAGCACTGGAGTTCTCCTCCCCTCACAATGGTGGAAATAAAGCTGTTGGTTTTACGATGCTATGGAGAGAAATTAACTGGGCCTTAAAATCACTTCCAATTCACAGTAATTGCAATATCCGTGTTGGAAGCCAAATTTTGAAGGAATAGTCCTTTACATAACACAATGAGGGCAAGACACACATACTCCACAACGTGAAAGGTTGTGATAAGGCGCTATATCAAATGCAAGGATAATTACTTGTTATTATTAGCTTTTTTTAAACAAAAGGATTCAATATAAACTCTACTACTTTGCAAGGCAGCTTTGAACACTTTGACTAAATTGGAGACATTATTGTTCACAACAAAGTCTCCAAAACTGCCTTGGAAAGTGGCAGAGTTTATATTCAATCCTTTTGTTTAAAAAAAGCAAAGGGATAACTCTAGCTAATAATAATAATAATAACAAATAACAATCCTCGCATTTGATATAGAGCCTTATCACACGTTCGAGATAATAATAATAATAATCCTTGCATTTGATATAGCGCTTTTCACGTCGGGAGGACGTCCCAAAGCGCTTCACAGAACACACTGTAAAGTGAATTGACTGTATATTTGTGGGCGAACGCGGCAGCCAATTGTGCAAACAATCGTGGATTGAATGTCCAAATTATTATATTTTTTCTGAAGGGATTATCACTCCCGGAAAAGTGATCTGCCAATCGACTGACAAGGGAGTTCCTACTTACTGCTGGGTAAGCAGAGGCATGTGTGTGGAGTAAGGAAACTTGGCCAACGTTTCGTCCTGCCCAGGAATTGGACCCAGGTCCTCTCGCTTGCGAGGCGAGTGCTCTAACCATTGAGCTACAGGACTCCTAATGTACTGATGCTGCTGCCTGTTCAATGAACTTTGCCAGTTTGACGTCTTTTTTGGACAGACCTCCACAGTCATGCGTTGAGAGTGTTATTTGAACCTGGGAGGGGAAAGAAATATATTATTTAGACATGATAGCAGTCGTTCAAGTTTGAGATTACAATGCACAAAATAAACCGAAAGTAACCTCTTCCTTCTCCACCAACCCCGTTGATTGTTTTGTTCAGTCTTATTGTGCTATAAGTTTTGGGTTCTCTCATCTGCTGGCTTTAAGGCTCCTTGAAAGCGAGGAAAATAAAAAGAGAAGACAGCGAGAAGCTATTGACCGTGTTTTTTTGCTACGAGCAAACAAGAAGGACGCTCTCACAAAGCAAAAATAAAACACAGGAATCTCTGAACAAGAGAAAAAAGGAGTTGGATTTAGAAACGCCCAGAATCGTCCTTCAATGGCTCGAGAAAGTAAATAGAAATGACATTATTTTAGGAGCCAAGTCTGAGCTCTCACCACCCCTTATGTTACCGTCACCACTAGGCAATGTGTCAATGTCATTAACATGGGGAAAGAGCGAACTGGTGGCCATTGTCTCTCATAATAACCACATTGTTTTACTTTCAACTAAAAGCAGCGTTAAAACAATATGCTCCTTCTGCGCAGTTGTACAGGTTTAGTGCAGTATTTTTGAAGAACATATTCTTTAATATGGATAGTTTGAGCTTGGAGTTACATCAGGAATTATACCAAAGGGATCGACTGCAAATGCTGGCAAAAAGCAAAGGGAAAAGAGTAACAACTACTTAGAAGCTCGATGTAAATGACATCGCAATGACAAACGATTTGAAGGCATTTAATAACTGAGTAGCTGCTTTTCTTTGTGTTAAAAAAAAGGAGCTTTTTTCGACTGGAATGTGGACACACGTGTATTTAATGAACAGATTCTTTACCACTTTCAAACAGGAACCTCGGGGAGATTAGCAAACGACTTGATGGAGAGTGCAGAATGCATTAGGGAGACACACTTAGGTCCACCCCTGCACCTGCACATTCATTCCAGCACAAGTGCTTCCCGCACATGCGTACTTGCCAATCCTTGCGACTCCGCAACTTGTAAAGTTAAAGCAAACTTTGCTGGTTTAATCCTGTACTGCCATTCACAGTTTAATAACTGAAAAGAGCTCACTCTTTTATCAGCTGCGTTCAATCACCGAACCACTCGGCATTTGTTTTTCGAGGATCACTTTGCCAACTTCACAATAATAATAATAATCCTTACATTTGATGTAGCGCCTTATCACGTCTTCGCGACGTCTCAAAGCTCTTCACAGAATAAAGTGAATTGACTGTGTATTTTGTGGGCGAAACGCGGCAGCCAATTGCGCACAGCAGCGTCCCCACAAACAGTGGTGGATTCAGTGACCAAATTATTATTATAATTTTTTTTGAAGGCATTGTTACCCCCGGAAAACCGATCCGTCAATCGACTAACGACCGGGTTCCTAGATGCAAGCAAGGCAGTGAAAACGGGGTACGTAGTTGTGATAAAATTATTCTTTATGCCCCAATGCAGTGTAAAAGTGGCACAATCATTTATATTTTTATTGAGCGTTTTCTTCCTGTTCTTTCTCGGTTTCATTCCTTCTAAAATAGCTCCATTGAGATGAAGGATAGCAAATGGCCATCTTCACTCATCCAACTCTTCATTCTTTGTCCTCATAATATTCTCAGATGAGGTTCCATACGAGGCAGAATACAATCTCCTCACAGAGTCTGCATCCCAGGCTCTGGCACCTCCTTCAGTCAAGGTAATGTGATACTTTGCAGCCCATTTTAACACGGCCTGAAATCATTAGGTTTCTGATAGATCGGTTCAGCTGAACTGAGGTTGGAAACTATTTAAAATAAGGTCAGTGGAAACGCTGTGATTCATAGCAGCTAATCCTTATGGTTCTCGCTCCAAATTTTAGATACACACACCAACTTTTCGTCTCTGATTTCTCCCTCCCCACCTCCCTCCCAGTCCTCTCTATCCTACAGTTAGTGACTCAGACTGGAGTACGTTTCCATAAACACCAGTTGTTCGCCAGTCGAGGTATTAGGAATATGACTAAGGGGAGAGGAGGAATCCAAACAACTGTCAATATCTAATAAACAGCCTCAATGTGCTGAATGGCCTCTTCCTGTTCCTGATCCCATTAGACCCTATGTGATATCTTGCCTGAACATCTCATCTTCATACACAAATCAAGTAAGTGTTTGTAGACATCAAAAAGGACAGCATCACATCCCAGCCACATACTCTCTATATTTAACATCTATATCTGTTGGGAGATGCTGTCCTTTAGATGAGATGTTTAGCAGAGACTCTGTTTGCCTGTTCCAGAGGACATTAAAGATCCCGTCTTTTGTGGAATAGTGCCAGGGAAGTTTCTCCCTGTGTCCTGGCCAACAAACCCCCCAAATAAAATAGCTGCTTGTGGTTTATTACTGTAGACAAATTGGCTAGTGTTAGCCCACAAAACACACAGTCATTGGACTTAATAATTATAATAATGATCCTTGCATTACATATTTCTGATACAGCGCCTTATCATGTCTTTGAGAAGTCTCAAAGTATATCCTGTGAAGTCCTTTGGGATGATCTCCTGACATGAAAGGCACTATATTAAATGTAAAGATAATTATTATTATTGCATCTAGTGTAAGAACTTTCCAAAAGAAATCACCAGATGGCATTCAGAAGTGCCAACACAAGGTGATTTGAGTTACTTCGACTTAGCAGATGGAGGTCCACTTGGATTTCTTAATTAAAGAATAGTATTTGAAATTGCCGCATTTTAGACCCCATCATCTACCTAAACATATGCAATATTCCTTGCATATGGTATACAGCCAGGATATACAAGCACTCTGGGACACTAACCTGCGTGAGGGGCACTATGTAAATGCAAGTTGTTGTTGTTGTTGCTGCTGCCTTTCACATCGGGAGGAAGTCTGAAAGTGCTGCTCAGGATTCATTGTAAAGCTTAGTAACTTTATTCTGTAGGCAATTTGCCACAGCAATGTTCCATAAACAACCATGAAGTAAATGACCAATTTTATCCAAACCAATGTGACTGACTGACTGACTGACTGACTGATTGATTGATTAATTGGGACGCCGAGAAGCTCCCTTCTCAACATAACACACGTTATACATAAAACATCAAGATGTAAGCGTGAGTACATCAAAATGGAGGCGTGGGAGAGCGTTAGTCAAGTATTAGATGCACAAGCATCAGGTTGTGATCTGCCATCCATCTACAGAGGGAGCCACACAAAATGTCTGCTCACAGAACCATTGTAACCACAAATTCAACAACAGCAACAAGTGAAGCCTGAAATACGCCAGTAAATGTAAGTCTACCTCCTCCCCCACCCACCCCCTCCCTCCAACGGGGCATTTTAGTAGAACGTAATCCTGTTTACAAGGAGCTCACAAAATACACCTTGTGCAGCTGCTTAGAATGGTGTGTGTTTTGGGGTTAATACCAAAAAACACACAAAACGTAGAATTATGGCTTCCTACAATTTGTGCAAGGCAGATAAACATCTTCCATAAGCACAAAGTAAAAAAAAATCAGCTGCCTTGTTTGGGGGTTCCAACATCAGAGCATTTGCTCTGATCTCAGTTTAAATTGGTGATGGTCTGGATGGGCTAAAAGCAGCATTAAACTCGTACATAATGCCCCTAGTTACAGCGGTACTAATGGTTAAGACCCGCTTTGATCCTCCTGTGCAGATCTCTATAACAAACATCAAAGGCGTTATTTGGAGCCAACAAGCAGTAGCGTATTAACCGAGACAGCAATATATCTCCGCAAACCTTCTACAAGTTCCTGGAGTGTCACGTTTGTAGATATGTGTTTCTTCGACTGAAGCGTAATTGTGGTTTTATTTATTTGGCGTAGGCAATACTCACACGTACAATTATCAGTGCTGTATAACCGAGCTTGAGAGTAATGGCTTACACGTTGCCACTGACCAAATGATTTATATTTTCAATCAGGATTCTACATTTTACTATCAAACACACCACGTGTCTGTTACCTTGTGGTACACATTGAACCATTCAGGATGATGATTCAGCTTCTCTGCTTGTAAAGCCACCCGCGTCATGAACCCAAAGGCCTGCAATGAGATTTCGTTAAGAAAACAAGTTAATTTATAACATCAAATAAAAAAGCATCGTTCGAGGAGGTGATGAATTGAGAAGAGGCGGAATATTCCGTTTCAAGGATTACCAGAAGTAGACAGAGTCCTGTAATTCTGCGAGTTCCGTGCCTAATAGATCGTAAGATTTTTCAAATAGAATTTAATAGACTTTACATTTAAGGAATTCAACAAGTGCACAAAAACAAAGTAATCAGTCCCAAGTGCTCTATTTCTTATTTTAATAAAAATAAGACAGGCGATGGGAGGTTACACATCACATTGGTAGGGAGTAAATAGGGAAGTCCTCCTAATTTAAAAGGCGCTATATAAATGTAAATGATGTTGTTGAGTATTCAGCCAAACGGTATTTTTTTCCAACCTGTGTGCCTCCCTCCGACTCACACACATACTCTGGTTGATTCTCTGAGAAGTCAGTGTAATACATTCCTCCACAACCACCGTCAACTCAAAACATCCTGGCAATCTCTCCCGGTCTGTAAGTTCAACTGCACCACCACCAACATCTCATCTTTCGCACCAGGTAACAAATGTTTTGTATACCAGATGTTAGGTGCTTAAAAGGTGGGTACGCACAGATCACTTAGAGGCAATATACAGATAACAGGACAACAATGGAGACAGAATCAGGGAAATCAGGTTATTTTAACAAAATAAATGAAAATACTCAGCATTTTGCAGAACAGACCCATTTGTTGGGTCTGCCAAGACGTTGTGTTTGAACATTTCAATCTGTCCACGAGTTGCTATTGTAATGAAAACACAAAATAGAAATTCACTAAAATCAGACAGCAACTTAAGGACTATGGAACTCTCAGTTGTAACGCTATATTTAATTTAAAATTTAATTTTTCCATTTCCACTTGGATCTCCAGGTTCAGGTACGAACACTTAAATGTAGTACAAGTGATATTAAAATCAAGCTTCATCTACACTTCAAAAAAAATAATAATTTGGTCACTCAATCCACAACAGTTTGTGGGGACGCTGCTGTGCACAATTAATTGCCGTGTTTCGCCCACAAAATATACAGTCAATTCACTTTATAGTATATTCTGTGAAGAGCTTTGCGACGTCTGGAAGACGTGATAAGGTGCCTTATCAAATGCAAGGATTTTTCTTTTTATTCCACAAAAATAAGTTAGGGCTGTGGTAGAAGCTCCGTATAACAACTTGCATTGCTATAGACCCTTTACATAGGATAACATATTTTTTTCTTCTTCGTGTAAAGAAAAAAAATTGCTCGTAGTACAAAATTGACTCGAATTTGGAATTTACCGAGATTTATTTACTATTCTAAATAGGGCATTGCTGCTTTAAGGGGACAATGCTGATTCAGGTAGGTGCAAGCAAATAGCTAGTTACTTTGTAAACTGTGAATAAAATTATTAAACTGAGTGGGGGAGCGACACAGAGCATTGCTCATGGTAAATGGTTTACACTGTTAAAACAATTTGGGACTAAATCTGGGAATAATGTTTAATTTCAGAATTGTTCATATCAAAGCCTAACTTGATTAGGTTCTGAATTTAACTGCTTCATGCTCTGATCTCGGCAATGAAATTGTGATTAAAACATCTTCTGTCCATCATCGGAAATAACTGCGAGGACAAAACAATAATAATCCTTGCATTTGATGTCGCGCCTTATCACGTCTTCAAGACGTCTCAAAGTGCTTCACAGAATATACTGTAAAGTGGACAGACTGTGTAATTTGTGGGCGAAACACGAGAGCCAAAAGCGCTCACTAAAGAAGGAAAGCATGCAGCGTCTTGATAGAAGCTTTCAGGTCTTATGAGGGAATGGATAAAAATGATCCAGAAAATTACTGACACTAATGTAGGTTTCAAAAACTAGGGCACACCATACAAAAATACAGGAAATTACAATTAAATAGGGATTTCTGGCAAAGCTGTGTCACACAACGGGTAGCTGACATATGGAATAGGTTACCAGAGAAAGGCACGAAGCAAATTGTGTAAATGGGTTCAAGAGGCACTTAGATAGATGTGTTTCTGGACAAAGCATAGATGAATATGATAACAATAATCCTTGATTTGGAGGTTTATCAAAGTGCTTCAAGCGCTCCGAGACACTACCCCGCGTGAAGGATGCGATATAAGTTCAAGTTTTTGTTGTGGAAAAATCTCGAAGCACTTCGCAGAATATTACAGTAAAGTGTAGTGACCGTGTATTTGTGGAAGGCAAATAAATTTACTGTTGCACAATTTCATGTCGACAGTGATCCTTTACAACCCACTGCGGTAAAGAACTTCAAGAAATCTGTCGTTATCACTGTTGGCTGAGTTTGCTCTATGCTGTACATACACATATACAATCGGGCAAGCTGAAACTATTGGAACAATCAAATGTTTTATGTTTCCAAGCTGTGGATCATTTCTCAATCTGGTTTTAAAAATGTCTTTCTTGTATATTGCTATGATAGGTAGGTCCAATTGTATCCCGCCAGTTTATGCTCCAAAGACCTCGCTATCAAACTATAATAAATCACATTCTTTATTCCTGGGTCTAAAACACGGCGCTTTCTAACCTTCTAACTCTGTGATTACTTCCAGCCACCAGAAGGAGTCCCAATCTGGCCCACCTGGGTGTCTGACTAACTAATCCTGTTAGAAATACAGCATACGACACCCAACAATTAAAACAATATATATATCAGTGAGGGAATATGATCTGTACACCCGCCACACAACCAAGCAATGGCTTGGGTGAAACCCAAGTGGAACACATAGTCACAGCTCAGCTGTAAGCCTAGACCTATGTATCTATCCATTGCTCGGCTTCACTGGCTTCCCAACTCTCAGGGGATTGAGCTTAAGATCCTCACCCTCTCTTATCTAAGCCCGCTGAGGTCTTGCTTCCTCCCTATCTCTGCGACCTAGTAAAACCAAACCAACTTGCCCGCTCCCTCTGCTCGGCAGGCACTGGCCTGCTTCAGGTTCCCCACCCCGCCCGCCCACCTTACTATCGGTGGTCAGGCCTTCAGCCTCTCTGTCCGCACCGTCTGCAACTCCATCTGGAGCCCATCCGCCTCCCTCCCTCACTCCCTCCCTCGCCTCCTTCAAGGTCCATCTCAAGACTATTGAGTACACTCAGTCCCTCGAAAGAATACTTTTGCCTGCCGCCTAACAGCTCCCCTGTTGCAGGAGAGTTGCTGCTCACATTTCTTCACATTCACAAGCTACAGCCCTCCAGTTATTAATCGCAAACTGCCAGGCAATTCTTTTTTTTAAATACATGGGGCCTAGAAGTCGGACTTTAAGTATGAAGTACTATATAACATAGAAGAATAAGTAGTATTGCATCAACGTTCTTCTGAATTTTTCCTCTTATACAGCTCCGTTTTGGGTGTTTTGCGCCGTTGTGCTCAATTAAAAAAAAGTTTTAAAATTGTCAGAATATTCAGGTGGTATAATATTTGGGTGTTCTGCACCGAGGATGATGGAAGCCACAGTTGCAGCTCTGAGCAGCTCCAAAGTCAATACGCAAATCAGACGTTCAGACCAGTCTGCATTGACCAGCCTGATTCAGCAAAGGTTTCTGTCAGCTGAGTCTGCAGGAGTTGTGACTCGGAGAGCGAAGATGTGGATCAGGTAGACAAGATCATGCTTAAAGGGCAAAGAGATCAAGTGATTTTCAGGTCTTGTCCGAAGGCACTCGGGGAACTGGGTTTACAAACCATGTGGAGCTCTACAGCTCAGCGGTTAGAGCACTCGCCTCGCAAGTGAGAGGAACTGGGTTTGATTTCGGGCAGAGTGAAACATTAGGCAAGTTTCCTTATTCCACACGCCTCTGTTTAGCAAGCAGTAAATAGGAAACTGTTATTAGTCGATTGATGGATCGTTTTTCCGGGGGTAATAATCCCTTCAAAAAATATTATTATAAGAATTTGCTCAGGCAATCCACGGCTGTTTGTGGGACGCTGCTGTGCTCAACTGGCTGCCGCATTTCGTCCACAAATTATACAGTCAATTCAATTTACAGTACATTATGTGAAGCACTTTTTTTAAATAAAAGGAGTTGGTCAGAGGCAAACTTATTTTAAAGCAAAATATCAAGCAAAACAGATAACTTCAGGGTGGCTCCAGTGAGCAGAAGGTAGCAATTTCCATGAACTCCTGAACAGATTCATTTGGGGTCAAATATTGCGGCCTTCCTAAACCATTCCTGAATCTTTGAAAGGAATTATATTAACACCAGCAGATGGCGCCACTTGTGCAAGTAAGTGGTTTGTTGCAGTCAGTGTCCAAATGCTGTCATTTTCATGGATTCCAAGATGAGCAATCCTAAATTTTAGACTTGGTTTGATTTTGCTAAATACCAACCTCCTAAGGTCTGTAGAAGGACCGAAATCCTGGCCAAAAAAAACCAACCTTTTTACAAATCAACATGGAGGCTTTAGGCCGAGTATATCCAATCCCTCAAAGACATTTTGAGCCGAGGAGAACGAGGATTTTGACTCTTGGAAAACTAGTAATACTAAAAAACACACAGAACCCAATACAGGGACTAAAGTTTTATGTATGAGTGTCGCTCACCTCACGGCTCAAGAGAATAGCAAAACTCGCAGCCTGGCTGTCCCACCCTGAATGAGACCAGTTGAGTTAGCAACAAATACGAGGCTGGAGTTGAGATTTTCCAGGTCTTTTGACCCGCTTCAATCCAGGCAGTGACTTTGCCCAACTGAGCCATAGGAGGAGTTTACACCATCCAATCTTCTAACCTCTCTGAATGAGGCCACTAATTTAGTACCAATTTCTGCTGAACTGTGGTCAGTTTTGTTTCGCTGTGGACCCGCGGTCACCAGAAATTGTGGTTTGAGACAGTCCAGACATTTATTTTATTTAAGCCCCTTAAAACCGGCAGAGAAAAGGGATTTTTGCCCCCCATCGGACCAGGCAGGATTGGATCCCAGGTGAAAGGACAAGCATGATCAC